TTCACTATGGAGGGGTGGGGTTGTGGGAGAAGGAGAGGGGAAGCACAGCATGATGCTTATTTTTAAAATATTATCATGCCTTGATCGAAATTTACAAGTTGATTCAAAAAAACATACATGGAAATGCAAAAGACCTGGAATTGTTAAAGCAGTTTCTGAAAAAAGGATGTATTTGGAGGACTTTCACTGCTTGATTTCAAGACTTACTATAAAGCTACTCAAGTTTGGCATAAGGACAGACAAATAGATGAATGGGACATTATGGAGAGTCCTGAAATAAACCCATACATATATGATCAATTGATTTTTTAACAATGTTGCCAAGGCAATTCAGTGGGGAAAAAAGTCTTTTCAATGAATGGTTCTGGAACAAGTAGATAAATATATAGAAAAAAAATTAACCTTGATCCCTATCTCATAATACATGCAAAAATAATTTGAGATGCATTATGTACATAAACGTAAGTTCTAAAATTACAAAGTTTGTAGAAGAACAAAGGAGAATATCCTTCTGACTCTAGGATGGGCAGAGTTTTTTTAGAGAGGACCCCCCAAAATGCTAAACATATCAAAGAAAAAAACTGATAAATTGGTCTTTATCAAAATCAAAAACTATTTTTCATCAAAAGACATCATTAAAAGAATAAAAAGGCAATCCATAAACTAGGAACAAGTATTGGCAATATATTTATCTGAAAAAAATTGTGTTGAGATATGAAGGATTTGTACCCAGAATATATAAAGAATTCCTAGAGCTCAGAGATAAAAGGACAAACAACCCAATCTAAAAAATGGGCAAAAGACCTGAACAGACACTTCATAGATGTATGTAACTGGCCAATAAGCGTAGACAGATGTGCTCAGGATCTTTAATCATCTGACAGGTGCATATTTAAACCATAATGTGATGATATTACACTCCTCCAGAAGAGCTAAAAATGGAAAAGATGCATAGGACTGACAAGGATGCAGAGAAACCAGAAGTCTCCCATGTTGTCAATAGCAGTGTAAAATGGTATAGCCACTTGAAAAACTGTTTGGTGGTTCCTTACAATATTAAACACAAACCTACCCTTTAACCTAGCAGTTGCACCCCTGGGAATTTACTGGAGAGAAATGGGAACACATGTCCACAAAAAAACTTTTACATGAATGTATATATCAGCTTTACTCCTAATAACCCCAGACTGGAAAGAATACAAATGTTCACTAAGAGATTGGACAAACTGTGGAATATTCATAGATGGAAAACTACTGAGTCATGAGGAAGAACTACTGATACACAAATCCACACAGTTGCCTTATTTACATGAAAGAAGGCAGATGCAAAAACCTACATTCTGTGTGATTCAGTTTATGTAAATTAAAGAACAGGCGAAGTTAATGGATGATGATAATACAAGAACAGAGGTTGCCTGTAGGGGTGGGGACTCTGAAAAGGGGCTCGAGGGCACTTTCTAGGGGGAGACAGGAACATTCTATAATCTTAATTGGGGTGATGTTTACACAGGTAGGTAATTGATCAGAACTCATGTGCTCAAGCTCTGTGCATTTCACTCTATGTAAGTTTCAGCTTAATAATAATAAAAAAAAAAGATCATAGTGCCTGATATTTGGGGCAGAATAGAAGCAGGGAAGCCAGCAGGGAGACTGTTATAATAGTACAGGCACAAGATGGTGGTGGGAGATGTATTAAGTGGCTCAACTTGAGATCTGTTTTCAAGGGAGGGTCAAGGACTGGTTAGCTCAGTAGGCAAGAGTCTTAGTTAGGCTGGCCCAAGATGACTGGGTCCCTGAAGCCCATTTACTTATTTTATTTATATATTTTACTCTGTCCCTTTTCTTTCTAAAATAATTCAGGATTCATTATAACAAAGGACATGTATTCAATAAGACTGAGAAAACATAACCAAAATAGAAAATTGAAACCAGAAGGTAGAAGAAGCAAATATGCCAGTTTGGGAGCTGATAATAAAAAACTAAGATCGGGAAACTCTTTCTGTCCAGTACCCTTGGCTGGGACTGCAGACAGGTTACAAAGGGGGTGGTGAGGTCTTTTAATATCAGAGAAAAGATGGCTCAAGTGGTGCTGAGTCAAGATGATTTTAGTTGAAGAATATATGACTTGTGGAGACTCTCTGGGCTTATAAAACCAAAAACACACATTTTTGTAGAACTTGATTTGTAACAGAATATTGCATCACAAAGGTCTGATACATGGTGTGCTCTCTAATGAAATGGGGGGTGTATTTTAGGGAGAACTACCTTCCTTCTGTTTGAGATGATCTATTATGCAGAAATGTAAATAGCATGGGGCGCAATTTAGGATAAAATAAAGCTTGAGTGTATTCTCCATACATTTATGGAATCATTATCATTTAGAATTAATGCAAACTCACATTCTGACATGGGAATTGAGTTTGGTTTGAATATATCAAGTCTAAACGAGGCAGCTATGGATAGGTAGAAATACTGTAAAAATGTATGTCAAGAAACACATTTTTTAAGATTTTATTTATTTATTTGTCAGAGATTACAAGTAGACAGGCAGGCAGAGAGAGAGAAAGGGAAGCAGGCTCCCTGCTGAGCAGAGAGCCCAATGTGGGCTCAATTCCAGGATCCTGGGATCATGACCTGAGCCGAAGGCAGAGGCTTTAACCCACTAAGCCACCCAGGTGCCCCCAAGAAACACATGTTGATTATTTATTGATCATTATCAGTACAGACAATTCATTATGTTGTCAGTTGAATGAGAGGGGAAACTTGTCAGTATTAGACATTCTTTAATTAAGAACAATCAATGAATCAGAAATGAAAAAATTGAAAAAAAGAGAGAATTTGTGTGGAGAAGATATTAAAAATATATGCTAGTAAAGCAGTCCATCAAATTAAGCCTCGTCTTAGTTCTGGAACTTGCGCTTGACTTCTTAAAATAGACCATTCCAAATGAAGGCTTAAATCACCATCATTTGATTAACGGCAAACTCATATTGGCATTGCCCATCAGATCTAATAGCAAAGACTGCTGACTCATGCAGAGACTAGGGAAGGAAAATAATCATCATAAATAATTCATAATGCACTGAGATGGCTAAGTTTGTGGTTGATTCTTTAGCAAATGTGATTGAATTTATTTCAAACTGGTGAGTAAAAATGACCACAGTTGGACAGCATTAATGACAAAGGCGTGCTCTTGCATCAACCATATAAATGGAGGGAATGAAATATGAAGAAAACTGTGACCAGCTGGGGGTTCTGAGGGATTTACTTGCTCCTGATGGTTTAGGTTTGGCCACAACAGAGCAGGTAGTTTAAGGTAATGAAGGGTTTGTTGTAATGATGTAAGGTGGGATGACTCTCAGGAAGTTCTCTTGGGCACTGGGGTATGTTGATGTCAAGTGCCCTCTGGGGATGAGGCCGGTGGTACAAAATAGGGGTGCACTGGCAATAAAGTCTGGGCCACCCAGGGTCCTGGGGCTTCTATAAGCTTCATAGTGAGGGGTGGGGGCAAGATGTCCGTATGAGGAATCTGAAGATCTCGTTTCTGGCCTTGCTTTTCCACTTACTAGGTGATCCTGGTTGGACAAGTCTTTTGACCTCCCGAGTCTAGACTCTTCTGTTACATGGGGTCTGTACTTCCTTTCTTGCTTTGCTTTTCATGGATTTTGCGAGGATCGACAGGATAAAGGATACATGGGCTCTCTAAAAATGTCTGCAAATAACCGCTACAGTTTTTTTTTTTTTTTTTTTAAATTATTTGCTGGTAACTAACTCTCTAGTGTGAGCTGAAGCGGGAGCCATGCAATAGTTCATGCTCAAGCTGAAGTTATTTTAAGAAATAATCAATACAAGATGCATTGGGTTGGAGCCACAATAAGAGTCATAAATCTTGATAGTGTGCTGTTTGATAAAATTAATAATGCTTGAAAGAAACATTGTAAAAACCTACAAGAGGGGAAAACCTAGTGCATTTGGGAGAAAGGGCTTAAGTCATTGTGGAAACTGAGAGTCACCTTAGGAACGATGGTTACTGTCCTGATGCCAAGTGGGACAGTTTTCAGGCACAAGTCCACACAATTGCGCATGCATGCACACACACACACACACACACACACACACACGTGTGCACACACCACACACTTACACACGCATGTACACAAGGGCAACAAGCACCAGCTTTGTTGTGCGGGTCTCAGAAGAGACTGGAGAGTAAGGAAGACCAGCATTAATTCCAACAGCGGATGATTGCAATCTGTGCACTCCAGGGCCCACCACCTTCTAAGGAAATGCCGCCTGCCTCTGATTTTTACAAATAAAATAGCCTCATTTCTTGCTGGTGAAGCATATGCTCACGTTGCTTTTGGATTTGTGGCTGTTGCATACGGGGACAGAGAGGAGGGCAGTGAAGGGGGACCGGGACCTCATGGTGTTTAATATATCCAAGCCCCCAGATGATCTATGGTTGGAAAGGAAAGTGAAAAATACTGCTTTTCCTGCGTCCACAATGATCCCAAACCTTCCAGATCCTCTGTCTTCTCACCAAGGTTGTCGCGGGAACCGGAGCCAGGTGTTCCCTGTTGGTGGGAGTTTTGGGCCACCCCAAGTGGAGACATCGCAGACCCGAGTTGCTAGGCAGAACCGTCGTTGCTAGGGAGAACCATGGAGGGTGTCAGGCTCCGGGGGACCCACGAGGGACAAACTTGGTTAAGGAAGCACAAGACCTGAGGGAGTCTGTCAGCAGCCTGCCCTCTGTGGGGATGCAGTTGATTCTCCTCCTAGGTGGTCAGAGACTGGAAGGCCACGTTAAAATTGCCTGGATGAAAACGTTTATTTCAGTAGGGTTGTGGGAGAATTTATAATCTCAAAAAGGTTTTTATTGTGGTGAATCTTTATTATAAAAGTTACTTGCATTTGTTATAAAGATGTTAAATTAAATTAAAATGTTAACTTAATTTTAAAACCCTAAGGAAACCTTGACATTGGGTCTGTCATGTTTGCAGGCAGAGAAAACAAAGAATTTTGTCAGTCGGAGCCTGGTCATAGGAGAAGTCCTCTCCATAGCAGACATGGCCACAGGAGTAAAGGTGAGAGGCTCTGGGGACCCTGCCCTTCATGAGCTGCTACTTAGTTTTGAACGGCAAGGAGCACAAAGTAGAACCCCACAGGTATCTGTCTGTTTACTGGAATAGATGTTTGTAAAATGGTACACCTGACAGCCCATACCCCTGACTTCCTCTTTAACCATGATATTCAGGCTTGTGCTTATTTGTTCTTGGCTTTTCTTTTTGTGTAGTTGTACTGCACTGTCAAACAATTATTTTCATTTGTTTTAATTTTAGAAAAAGCCTCATAGTCATTCATGATTTATTTTCTTCTCTTAAATATGATCACTAAGATCAGTCTGTATGGGGCGCCTGGATGACTCAGGCGGTTAAGCGTCTGCCTTCAGCTCTGGTCATGATCCCAGAGTCCTGAGATTGAGTCCCACATCGGGCTCCCTGCTCAGTGGAGAGCCTGCTTTTCTGCCCCTCCCCTGGCTCGTGCACTTTCTCTCTCTCTCGCTCACTCTCTATCTCTCTCTAAGTAAATACATAAAATCTTAAAAAAAAAAAAAGATCAGTCTGTATTGTGGCATGCCACAGCCTCTGTACTTGTTTTTTTTAATTTTTTAATTTTGAGATAATAATGCTCACAGAAAGTTACAAGAATAGTACGTAGAGTTATATGAGCTCTTCTCCCAGTTTCCCTCTGTTGTAAACCAGTGTAAAAGCAGGAAATCACTACTGCTACCATACTGTTCTAGGACAGTACTAGACTACAGGCCTTCTTCAGATTTCACTAGTTTGTACATACACCCCAGTGTGTGTGTGCATGTGTGTGTGTGTGTGTGTGTGTGTGTGCAGTTCTATGCAGTTGGTCCTATATATGGATCCACGCAACCCCCATCACAATCAAGATGGAGAACGGTTTCATCACTGCAAAGAAACTTACAGGGCTACGCATTTACAGTTGCACCCAGTCCCCACCCTGTTCCTGTTCTTTGGCCACCACTAATCTATTCTCTACAGTGTCACCATTTTGAGAATGATACATGGATGGAAGTTCATTCATTTTCTCATATTCCATTGTGTGAATATGTGACAGCACTGGGACTTCTTAGCCTTCTCCATTTTTGCTGTTCATATGGGTGTAAAATGGCATGGCATCATGGGCTCACTTTGTGTGTCCCAGCTCACCAAGAATGGTGAACAGAATAGTCCTTAACAGGTGTGATGGCCATGGTTCCTCATGGTACCCTAAGTCCCCAGTGGAGGGCCATTTTTGTGGGGCTGCATATGCTCTCCTTTCTCTCCCTGGATACCACTGTGCCTCAGAATAAGACCCTACATCCAAACATTCAGTCCTGATGCCCCAAAGGGGAGAAATAACTAGAATACAAAGAGAGACTGATCAGACAGAAAAGCCACGTCAATCATTGGTGAGTCCAAAATGGCAGTTATTTTAGTTTTTGCCTTGTAGACGTTTAAAAATGGGTAGGGGTTAAAAACAAAGAAGATTGTGAGTTCATCAGTGGTAAAGGCACCCACCAGTAGGTCCTCTGGGGGAGACTGGCTTCCCTGTGATTTCAGCCAGGCAAGGTCTCTTCCCTCCTAGTTGGGTTGGTTGTGGCTTCCAGACAGAAGAAATTCAGCTGAGATGCAACAAATAGATTCCCTTCTCAGAAGTACTAGAGGTCTCTGGTCTAGACTCATGATCCTCAGTTTGTGTTTTTTCCATATCGCTCTCTACCTCTTTCTTTTCAGCAAGCCTGTGGAGGGCTGTGACCATGCGGAAATCCCTACAGGGTGTTCCAGCGTTCTAGGTGGGGAGCCCTCCCTTCAGCATCTTTAGGGTCTTGCACTGACCCTAGTGCCTAGAATTGCACAGGGAATGTTTGAATGAATAAGGGAGGAGCAGCTTGCGGTTTAAAGCAGACTTAAGAAACATTTCAACCACATGCAGTGTGTGGACATTATTAAGATTCTGGTTCAAACAAACTTTAAAGAAAAAATTATGTGTCAGTGGGGGAAACATTGAATATTTGGTGATATTAAAAATTATTCTATTTTTAGGTAGGGCAGTGGTTTTAGGGTTACATTTTTAGAACGTCTCATTATCTTTTATGGGTGTATGGGACATATTAGGGATGAAATGACAGGATGTCTAGGATAAACTTGGGGTATAGAATGGGAAAGTGGATTGGGGAAAAAGCAAAATGGATCATGAGCTGGTCAGTGTTGAGTTCATTATATTCTTGTATTTTGGTTGAAATTTTCCAAAATAGATTTTTTTTTGAATTTTGTTATATTAGTCACCATACAGGAGGACATCATTAGTTTTTGATGTAGTATTCCATGATTCATTATTTGTGTCTGAAATAAAAGCTCTCAAAAAAGTTTTGCTCCTGAGTATCCTAGAAGAAAATATGAATAGATATAAAGAAATAGGTCTTTGGGCGCCTGGGCAGTTCAGTCACAGGGCTGACTCTTGATTTTGGTTCAGGTTGTCAAGCTCAGGGTCATGGGATTGAGCCCTGTCTCAGGCTCTGTGCTCAGTAGGGATCTGCTGGAGATTCTTTCTCTCCCTTTCCCTCTCCCCCTGCTCCATGCTCTCTCTCTCAAATAAATAAATCTTTTTTAAAAAAGAAGGTAAGAAGTAAGGTCTTTAAAATTGCTTCTCTGATCATATCACTCTTCTGCTTTAAACTTCTCTTTATGCTTTAGAGAAGTCTTCCTATTTTTTTATATGGCCCATGTGTTCTTGTATGGTTTGGCCCTACTCACTTCTCCAGATACCTTCTGTCTCACTTTGTCCTCCTCCCTAGGAGACCTGACATACTGGCCTTCTTTCATTCTTCTCATCCACCTTTGGGCCACTCTTGCCATCACCCTAGAATGGATTTTATCCCCCTCCTTCACCTGCCTGACACCTGCTCATTCTTCAAGTCCCAGCCCAAGTGTCCTCCCCACAGGCCTCCCTCAAGCCTGCAGTTGAAATCCTATCCACTTGTCATCTGTCTTTGTATCTTTCAGTTGTCTGTCACAAGTATGTACCTACTTTGATCTTTTGTATTTATTCATGTGTCTAATTGCTCTATGTCTCTTAGCACCACTAGAGGGCAAACCTTTTGAAGACTATCATCCTCTTGTATAGTATCAATACAAGAGAATTAAATGAATACATAGAATCAAAACAGGTCTTACTAGAAAGGTTAAACTAGAATTACCGTGTGACTCAGGAAATCCATTCCTAGGTATATTCCCCCCAAAATGGAAAACAGGGACTCAAACAGATACTTGTGTGCCACTGTTCATTGCAGCATTATTCACAATAGCTAAAGGGTGGAAACAAACCAAGTGTGTGTCAACAGATGAATGGTTAAACAAAATACGTATACATATGATGGAGTATCATCCAGCTATCAAAACGAATGACATTTTGGTACATGTTACAACATGGATGAACTTTGAAAACATGACATTAAGTGAAATAAGCCAGACACAACAGGACAGATATTGTATGATGCCACTTACATGAAATTTCCCGAAGAGGCAAATTCATAGAGACAGAAAGCAGATGATGGGTTGTGAGAGGCTGGAGGAGCAGGAGGATGGGGAGGGGCGGCAGGGCACCGAGTTCCTGTTTAGGGGTGATGAAAGGTTTTGGAGATAGATAGTGGTGATGGTTGCACAACAGTATGAATCTCATTCATACCATTGAATTGTACTTAATAATGGCTCAAATGCAAACCTTATGTTAAATGCATTGTACTGCAATTAAAAAAAACTTTAAAAAATTTAACACAAGTTATCATGAACGCTGTTTGCTTTCCCACACATCATTCATTGCAGAGGACTTGTTTATCTTGTGCTTGAATAGCCCAGACAGTTAGAGGAATGTGTGGATGGTCCTCCTGAGTCCAGCCCAGAGGGGCCATGTCTATCTTTCTGTGGGCAGTGGAAGGAGATGTGGTGTGATCAGAACAGTTCCTGTGAGCCCTGGGTTGGTCAGGGCATCCCCAGACCTCACTGCCAGCCCACAGGGTTCTGGTAGCCTCTACCTACTTTCCTTTTACACCTGCACAGGAGCTTTCCTTTTATACCTGCACATGAGGAAGTGTTGGCAGTTTGTCTAAGTCATCTCTGCCCCGCAGCCCTGGGCTCCTTTGCTCTCTCCCTCCACATCTGTGTTCTTCAAAAGCTCTGGGTGTCCCTGAGTCCTTTAGATAAACATAGTTGGACTAACACAGCCAAGTGGTGGCAGGACCAGGGTCTGGCTCTGAGAATGACTCACGATGAGGTTGGGGGTGGGGTGGGGTGGGAAAGTGAGAGGTTCCAGGGAAAGACTTCCTTTACTAAGGGCTTTGAATCCCTGCTTTAGCTTGGGAGCCTGCCTGAGGTCTTCTACCAGACACGCTGATGCATTCTGGAAGGACTCTAGGACCCAAAGAAATGTGACATGCTTCCTTTTCTTCTTCCCCATGACTGTTCCTCTTTTTCTCTATCTGAACTACCCTATTATCTGTCTTAGTTTGCTTGGGCTGCCATGATAAAATACTATAGTTCATGTGGCTTAAATAACAGAAATTCATTTTCTCACAGTTCTGGAGGCTGGTGAGATCAAGGTCCAGCTGATGGAATTCCTGGTGAGGACTCTCTTCCTGTAGATGGTTGCCTTCTTGCTGTGTCCCCACACTGGGACTGGGCAGAGAGAGACAGACAGAAAGAGAGAGCACTCTCTGGTATCTCTTATAAGGGCACTAATCCCATCGTGAATGTTCCACGCATGACCTCATTTAAATTTAATTAGTTCCCAAAGACCCCATATCCTAACACCAACACACTGAGGGTTAAGGCTTCAGTGTATGCATTGTGGGGGGAACACAATGCAGTCCATAGCACTATCCTTTCTGGGGCCACCATTGTCTCAGAAACCAGCAGTGCTTCAGTGTGTTCCATTTGCTCTTGGAATGAAAAGAGAAAAGAGTCTGAATGCACTTGAAGATTCTTCAGGGGACCCACTTTTGGACTATGGTGTAGGAAGGGCCTGGCCCATCACAGCCATGGCAGACTTCCTGGCATGCATGACAGACCTGACTGGTACATGGTGGCATGGAGAGAGTCAGAATGACGTGGGTTTACGTCCTGTCTCTAGGACTTCACAGTCAAAGTTCATGCACATTCCTTTTACATCTAAGCTCATAATGGGTGACCTTTGTTTTCTCTTCTGTGAAGACGTGCTGCTAATGTCCATTCATGGGCTGCGGTCAGATTTAAATTGATGATGCCTATGAGAAGCTGTATGTTATGGCTGGCAGGTAGCAGGAGCTTGGTAAGTGGCTGGGATGGTACCCCCTAAGATGTGACCCAGACCCTTTCCTGGCAGTCTCCTAGGTAGTGGCTCAGTCAGTGGATTGAGGTGAAATTGACCTGTGTTCCAGCTCCAGCCCCCTAGCTTTCCCTGCCATGGTGGGACATCTTTCTTGCTAGTCACCATTTGGAAGTTAAGAGGCCCCATCCTTGAACCTCTTCAGCCTGTCCTGACAGCAGTTCCCAGTCCCCAGGTAGCTCTGACTGTGGCCTCCAGATGCTACTGCCAGCTGTCATTGGGCATATTGTGCTCATGACCTCATGTACACGAGGTAGCTGCCCTTCCCATCCTCCAGATGAGTGAGAAAGGAGAGAAGGAGCTTTCCCAAACAAACAATGCAAGGTGCACATAGATTTAGAGATTTTGTGGTGTCCTTCCCGTTGTCTAATTTCCTTGCCACTGCATTCTTTGGTTTTTCTCAGAACAAATAGACTAGTCTGGGTCCTGTCTGCTGAGGTGGACTAGAGGCCAGGATGCCCACTGGGCAGCAAAGGCAGCAATGGACACAGTGCTCTCCGAGGAGGACACTTTGCCCTGCTCCCTTGTGATGGGTTAGTGCCCTTCTTTGTTCAGTTTCTGCCTCCCTGTCTTAGGGAATTCATCCCCCCCTCCCTGGTTCTTCCAGCAATCAACCCCCCACCTAGCCCCCACTAAACAGTTAATGGGCCTTCATCCATCTGGAGGCTCAGGCCCAAAATCAGGTGGCACCTAGAGTCCTCCCTTGCTTTCTTCTTCCAAATCCAGCCCATCAGCTCTGTCTCCAGAATCTACCTTGAACGCCCCTGCTTCGCACCATCCCGGTCTGACCACTGCTCACTGGCTTACCTCAGTGGTTGCTCAGGAGGCATCTTCTTCCTGCTGGCTGGGCTGGGGTCCATCCTCCTCACAGGAGGCTTATATCAGGCCAGACAGTCATCTGCTTGGAACCTTCAGGTGCTCCCCCTGTGTCAGCCCCATTGGGTCAGATTCTCTTTCAGAGAATGTGGCTTTGGCAACACACTGCCCAGCACTTGGGGGAAAATCCTCACATTTTAAGTGACTCTGTGGATTGGGGGGTCACACAGACACCACGTCTATTAACTGCTGTGGTTTCTGCAAACCAGCAAGTTTCATTCACCCGCCCAGTGCTCCTACTGATGACATTTAGTGAACGGGAGTTTTCAAAATGTGGATAAAATATTCTCCCCACTCCCTTTTCTAATGAGGAGGAATGGATTTAAAATCTAGAAAAGGAATATATTTGTAAAGAATGCATTAGCCACCAGTTAGAGAGATTTGGGGGTGGAGAATTCAACCTGTTTTAGTTTTAGAAAAATGCTTTTTTAAAACTTGATTTCCAAGATGATTTATGATGGGAAAAACACTATTTGGATTGACTGTATCTTCCCGGGCTGGAATTAGCAATGTGATCAGCAGGGTCATGAGGATTCCGAGGATTCTTTATGAGTCTCCAAATGAAAGCACTTCATATGTCAGAGGTGATTAATGAAATTCGTCTGTCATGATGTCAGAGTTTTTGAATTTGGTAAAGTGCCCTTTCAGATAGTTAGGGTCAGGCTGATCACATATGTGGAGTGTGGGACTAGTTCTTGCCAGAGGCCGGTGACAGTCTTGGGTGGGAGATCTTAAGATTCCGTTCCTGCCATTTCCCTTCCTACAAGGTCTTCCTTGGGGTTACTGTGTCTACTCAAGCTCATTCAACTGTGATGACCCCAGGGAAAAAGGGTACCTATTGGCTATTATAACTGAAGAGTCCAGAGTGCCACAGGTGTGGATGTGGGGACCTGGTCTGTCCCATGTGTCTGCCTTGTCTCCTTCTCCCCACCTTGACCTCATGTGTTGGTTTCCTATACCAGCTCTCGTGATGGCAAGAGCAGCCAGCAGCTCTAGGCCTGCATGCTTCCAGATTCCACTGCAGTGAGAAAGAGAGAGCATCTTTTGCCTACTAGCTCACCCATGTGTCCCAGAGGATGCTGTGGTTGGACCCACCCAGACCACGCACGGGTCTGTGCTGATGCCATCCATCCCCCATGGCCAGGATATTATAGATGTTATTGCAAATCGACCCGTCCTGGGTCCTAGGCTCATTCTAGAGCTGAGGGTGAGGTCAACATTAGCCATAGACCACCTGGACTGACTGAGGGAGAGGAGGGGTCCCCAGAGAAAAGCCGGCACTGGGTGGCCGGGGCAGAGGACGGCATGCAAGCCTGCAAACACAGCCAGTGTCTATACACTTGAACTCTTCTGTCTTTGTCATCAATCCTCCACTCCCTTTAAATGGCTCTGCTCCACCTACCCTTCCTTCTCATCTTCCTCCTCATCATTCTCCTCCTCCACTTCCTCCTTGCCAGCAACACTTTTCCAGGGTTTATAAAAGACCAGAGTCCTTGGCAGTTGACCGTCACTGAATTCTCGCTGCAACCTTATGAAGTGCTATTAGGCATTAAGCACCTTGGCTTTGGACCCCAGCCCTGCTCACCATCTCAGAGCGCAGCCTTCGGCAGGTCACCCCTCTCGCTGAACCTCAGTGTCCCTGTCTGTCAAGTGGGGGTGATGACGTGTTTTTCCCGGCGTGGTTGTGAGAATCAGTGGGCTTGTGTGTATGAAGCTCAGTGCTTAGAAGGGTAAGTGCTCAGTAAGTGGGAGCACTCATCACTCACTGTGTTTGTCAGATGTGGAGACTGAGGATTGCCATTTTTCCAAGGTCCCCCAGCCAGTGGGTACCTAAGCTGGGCTTGGAGCCCAGGCTGTCTCATCGCGGGCTGAGTGCTTGCTCGTTATTGGATTTGCATTCCGTTTTCCATCAGCTTTCCTGTTTGCTGGCAGTTTCTCATGGTAGGGTTCACCTCTGCAGTCTGGGCTAGTGTCTGGGATCAGTGCATAAATACTTCGTTACACATCTTCTCCACACCAGGCACTAAGCTAGCCCCTGAGCAGATAAGGCAGACTGAACGTTCCAAAGTGTCATTTCAGAGAAAAACAAAACTGGAGGTATCACGATTCCAGATTTCGAGTCATATTACAAAGCAGTAGGAATTAAAACTGTATGGTACTGGCATAAAAATAGAGATGTGGAGCAGTGGAATAAAACAGAAAACCCAGAAGTAAACCCCCAATTAGGTGGTCAATTCATCTTTGACAAAGGAGGAATAAATATCCAGTGGAAAAAAGAGAGTCTCTTCAGCAAATGGCGTTGGGAAAACTAGACAGTCACATGCAAAAGAATGAAACTGGACCACTTGTGGGGCTTTTGTAAAGCTGGACAAGCTGAACACATGCTCCTTGAATGGAGTTTGGCCAGGGCTTTATTCATCATTCAATTGTTGACTCTCGCTAACAACGGTCTATGTTGTTCTTGCTTTCAGTGTGGAATAATTTATTGGCTATTTGGTGGTGCAGTCAGGAACCTTGGAAGCCCAGGACATGTCACTAAGTGGCTTCAGCCCCTCCAGGTATGGCGTGTTTTCTTCCATGGAGAGCCTTAAAAATTCATAGTAACTAGATGTGTGTGTGAGCGCATGTTTGCAGAGAAAGAAAGTAAACCAGAGAATTAACGTCAGGGAGAATCTTGTTCTGAATGAGAGATTCCAGATTGTTTTTTAAAAGAACTGTCACGTTGTTGTCACAGTAGCTGCCCCCAGGCACAACGCTTGTAAATATCTCCAACTCACGGCTCCCTCTCTTACCCACATCCTTGATGATCAGAGCTCTGCATTTAGATCGAGCATCTGACTAGCTAATTCCCTTCTAATATCTGGTAAACTCCAGGAGCAGAAATACACTGGGATGTTTGCAATGACCGAGAGGGGCCACGGGAGCAACGTGAGAGGGATCCAGACTGAAGCCACCTTTGACCTCTCGGCGCAGGTGAGGATTCTGCCCCTTGTTCTGCAGTTTGGGGTGGTGGGAAACCTGTTCAGAACCAGACTCTCCTTCTTCCCGAGGTCAACCTCACATCCTCCGTGTACACTCTCTGGTCAGAGGGGCTCAGATTTCAAACAATTGCCTAGGTGCTTTAGTGGAGGGGGACACATGCTCAGCCTTCATGTGTCTCATATAAGCCAGCACTTTCTCAGCACCTACCATGTGCAGGCACTGCTTCATGCACTTTATGTGCTCTTGTTAATTGGATGTCTGGTGACACCCCTAGGAGAGCAGTACGGGCACCATTTTGTCATCCTTCCCAACCGCCTCAGGTAAATGGCTGGAAGAGAAGTTTTGTTTGCACTCCCCTTTGCACCTTGCGGCAGGAGGGCACTGCGTGTGCTGATATCTCCTTACCAGGAACCATGCCCTTGTTACTGGCACGAAGCAGTGTTTCTAACTGTGACTTACATGAAAACTCCCATGGCCTCCCAAATAGAATTTCACAAAACAGTCTTGCTTCTGTGATCTTTAGTATATGTGGGGAACTTCGTTAGTTTCCCTTCTGTCCTCATAAATAAAAACCAGTTCGTCAAGACTCTAAACTGACCCTCTCCATAAATGCGTCATACCCCGCAGGGCGAAAACCCTGCTCTCTCTAAAGAAGTCTCCATTTCTTTAGCTCCTCCTCCCTCCGAATAAAGAAACTCTCTACTTATTTCACTCTCCTTCATAGTTTCTTGCTTGATATTGGGTTTTCCTAAGAACTGTGAAGGAGGGGCACTGGGTGGCTCAGTGGGTTAAGCTGCTGCCTTCGGCTCAGGTCATGATCTCAGGGTCCTGGGATCGAGTCCCGCATCAGGCTCTCTGCTCAGCGGGGAGCCTGCTTCCTTCTCTCTCTCTCTGCCTGCCTCTCTGCCTACTTGTGATCTCTCTCTGTCAAATAAATAAATAAAATCTTAAAAAAAAAGAACTGTGAAGGAATACGTAAATTTTGAAGTTCTTTCTAGACACGAGTGTGGGTAAAAATATATATATGCAGGCGTGGGGCGTGGGTGTAGGTGTGGCTACTCACTCTAGCTGTTCTTCGTTTTTGCTGAGTTTGTCCTTTAGAATCTGAATTTTTGCTAGCGGGTTTTCCCGACCCACAAACGCTAGCTAGAGGGGATCAGGGGTTAGAATGATGGATTCAAGCGAAGGTTCTGTTGGAATATGTTCATCCCGTCCTCCTGCCCAGATGCTAATTCTCTACAATAGTCAGCGATGTCCAAGGTCCTAGCAAGAGTAAGGACTGACATGTATCGAATGCTCCCTATGTGCCGGGCTCTGTGTTGAACACCTTCTGTATACTTCACCGTATTCCCTTGCAATAACCATCCCACAACATGACAGTAAGCCACTTCTTGTAATCTAGCCCATGTGTGCTAGATGTCAGGCTGAGCACTGTACATGTGACATTGTGTTAAAGACCCTGTAGTTTTCTAGGAAGATATTATTGTCCCTATTTGATAGGTGGAGAAACTGAGGCTCACAGAGGTTAGGAAACTATGAATGAGTCTGCAGTTAATGAACGAGTCTGCCTCAGGTGGGGCTGCCCCTCACAGCTTAGCTTTCCAGCAAGGGGTGGCGTGCTAACCAAACACCTTTTCAGTTTTCGGTTGATCAGTTTTTTCTTTCCCTAAACCACAGTACTGAGCTCACCTTGCTGTCATTAGAGAGGAAAAAAGAAACCCCACCCAGAATTCTTATTTATTTGTTTCTTCTTACAGTCATTATTTTTTCCCACCAAAATCATTTACCAGGGTGGGTCCCATTTTCCCCAAACAGCATAAATGATTTAGCTACCTGGCATGCTTTGGCAGCTGCCGCCTTCTGCAGGGGGGTTGCAGAGCTGAAACCGTAATGATGAGGAGACTCTGGTGAACACTCCGGTGGGAGTGAGAGAGAGAATAAGCCCATCATAAACTCGGGCCACTGAGGATTGACATAGCAGGGAATGGATTTCTCCTTCATTGCTTTCCGTGTTTCCCCCTTCATTTCCCTTGTAAAACGTGAGAGCACATCCAATGAGCCCTCTCTCCCTCAAGGACTCTTTCAATCACTTACATTTTCTGGTTATTCATTTCTGTGGGTTGGCTGTTTTATTTTTATTTTTGGACAGAGGCTCGGGTAGTGGTGGGGATAATTAAGAGGTAAGAGAGAATTTAGTTTTATATTTTATGCTAACAAAAATAAATACAGCTATGAGCTTTTGGGCAAAGCCTTTTTTTTCTTCTTTTCTTTCTTCTTCTTTTTCCTTTTTTTTTTTTTTTAAGTGCTTACAGTACTGACCATTTTGTTGGCCTTCAACAACTAATTATGGTAGGAACCGACACACATGGTGTGCATTATTTAGATCATGCTTTAATGCCAGCATTTTGGCTTGTGCAGACTTTCCCAAATCAATGTTTTTGCCAGAAGTGACAAACCTCCTTTCCCAGAGTGTATCAGATGTTTTCGGGGATGGATGGCCTTCCGTCTCTTCCCCACCCAACCAGATCTTTGCTGCCAGGTCAATGTTACTCTGCTACTTCCCTTCCTACCCTTTAGGGGTAAGCGTCCCTTCACCACACGGATTTTTTTGTTGTTGTTGTGGTTGTTACTGCACTCAGCCTCAAATAGTTCCTTTCTTTGAGAAATCCTGGCTGGCCTGATAAGACTAGGGCAGTCTCCAGAGACTTCCCTTAAAAGGATTCAGCTTGTCCATTTATGTTTCTGAAAAGCGCTTGCACATGCTAGAAGTTTCCTTGTGCAAACACATGTCAGAGAATGTTTTCTTGGGCTTCGAGAATGTATGTCTTGGCCAGCAGGCGAGGGTAGTCTATAGACTTTAAAATTCGGACTCCGAGATAATCTTTACATGATCAATCGTTTGTTGCTTTAGTTCAGCCACCTTTTCGATATTGTCAGCTCCAATTAGATATGCAGTTCTGCTCTTTTGCTATTTCCCCTGGATTCCCTGACCTGCCCCAGAGACCCTGTATTCAGAGCTGCCCGTTACCGTCAGTGCCTCCTTGACGAGAGGTTCCTGGGTAACCCGGGTGGTGAGCAGAATCAGAAGCGAAGCAGGGCATTTCCATTGTGATTCTGCCCTGGCTTCCCGAGAGGAGGAGAGAGAAGACCCAGATTGAGCAGAGCCTGAAAACAAAAACCCTGCATGGTTTTCTTGAACAATGTTAATTTCAATGTTAATTAACAATGTTAATTTCTTGAACAATGTTAATTTCTGTTTGGAGCTGGAAGAATCCTTGGTCATATGATGGAGACAAACTGGGTGGCATATTCAAAGATACTTTCCCTTATAAGAGAATTATCTACAAATGTTTCAGGTTAAGGGTTTATGCCTTTGGGGGAACTTTTAATTATTATATCCATCGATCAAGAAAAAGGAGAGGCAGGATCTGAAACAATCATCCAAAGGCTCAAATGAGGGTTGGTTTTTTTTTTTTTTTTTTTTTTTAATAAAAATTAGGATTGTGTGGGCTAAATTCTAAGCAATGGTGGGACTGGGTCATGGTTGCCTACTAATCTTGCTTGCATTTCTGGCATACGGTTTTGGCCCTCAATTAGATGCTGTTTAAACAACAAAACCCTATCAATAAGGTAGAGATTTTCAAGGCCAGGGCAAGAGTGGAGGACGTGAGGAACCAAGTGATTTGTCCACAAGACTCAATGCCCAGCAGACAAGATAAAACACGCAGATGTGGACTCATCCACCTAGGGGCCCCAGATCATTAAACGTGTCATCCTGTCTTGTGAACCTTGCGAGTGGGATGTTTGGGAGAGCTGAGTATAGATCACCAGGGGCTTGGGGGTTTTGTCTTCTCTTCTGCTGTGAAATCAATCACCTGAGGGTGTCCTGCTGGAGGATGTGGATCTATTTCACAGTAATCATTGCACTGAGCCAAGGAGTTGAGATGAGCCTAGGAGAGGAAAACTCTGTCGCTCTTTTTCTGTGTAGGAGTTTGTGATCGACACGCCATGTGAAAATGCTGAGAAGATGTACATTGGAAATGCGATGTATGGGAATTATGCCGCTGTCTTTGCTCAGCTCATCATAAACGGAAGATCGCAAGGTTTGTGCTGGTGCAGAAAGCTAGAATAATTCTCTTTACCCTTACTACTTTCCAGCAAGTACTTTACCTTGAAAGTGTACTTCACAGCACTGGTTTTGTCTTGTATAAACTCAGCACCAACTTTATTTCTTCAGTGTACACGGTGGCTGAATTTATTCTTACATTTTGACATTACAGTAGTCCCCCCCCAGCCCCACCCTTATGTTTGCCTTCCACGATTATTGTTACCTGCCGTCAGCTGCAGTCTGGAAGCAGATGACCTTCCTTCCGAGGTCAGAGGGTCCATAGTAGTGTCACACTCTGTCACAGGGCCTATGTCATTCCCTTACTTCATCTCATCACGTAGGCAGGAAAACACTTGGCATATATAGGATTTGGTACTTTCTATGGTTTCAGGCCTTCACTGGGGTCTTGGAACATATCCCCTGTGGACAAGGGGCGACTACTGTATACACTACCATATGCAGGGCAGGGTCCTAGAACTGACTGAATTTCAGGATCAACACAATTTATAGGCTGTTCCAGGAAATGAATAAAGCTTTAATCGTAGCTTTAGAAAAGAGAGTTTATCAACTGTGTCTCTGCTTTCTCAGGGCCCCACTGTTTCATTGTTCCTGTCCGTGATGAGAATGGAAGCTTGTACCCCGGAGTGACAGCTATTGATATGATGTACAAGGAAGGTGAGTCCCCAAGTGACACCTCTTCTCCCCTCATTTGCACTTCCGGCACACTCCCTGCCCCACCCAAGGAGGGTCGAACCTAACTCACCAAAATAGCAAAACAGAGAAGGCAGAGAAGACTTTTCGATTTTGAAGCCTGATGAAAGTCTTTTACGTCACAACTGTTGGGGAATGTTGAAGATTGCCATTTATGAATATGTATTGGTCTTGTTTCCTCCCAGCCTCTCGGATTTTCCAGTCATGAGGCAGCTTTGCCCTGCGTAATTTCGCCTCTTTTCCTCTTCTTGGACTTGTGGGCTCTCAGAGGGCCAGTCGAGGCTCTCTCTTTTTCCTGCCTCTGAGCCACAGCCTGGTGTTGGTGCCTCAGAGGTCCTTGATGAATCCCGAGGACTGACTCACGGGACAAGTTTGCTGTCATACCCCAGGCTAAGCGGCTTAAACAACAGAAATGTATTGGCTCATAGTGCTGGAGGTTACAAGTTCAAGATCAAGGCGCTGGCAGGATTGGTTTCTTCTGAGGGTTGTGAGGGAGAAACTGTGCCACGCCTCTCTCCTTGGCTTCTAGCTGGTGTCTTCATGCTCGCATGGTGTTCTCTCTCCTAGTGTGCATGTCTGTGTCCAAATTTCCCCTTTCTATAATCCAGTCCCTTGGATTAGGGCAACCCTAATGACCTCTTTTAACTTGATTATCTCTGTAAAGACCCTGTCTGCGAATAAGGTCACATTCATTAGTACTGGGGGTTAGAACTCGAATGTGTGAATTTCAGGGGTGGGGTTGGGGGCGGTGTAATTCGACCAGCAATTACTGAGAGCGGGCCACGCCTGTGGGCCCCACTGGTTGTCCACAACCAAGGCCAAACCAAGCCAAAGAAACAGGTGGGAAGAGAAGGAAAAATAAACAAAAAGAGAAAAGGGGGAAGAAGATGATTCTTCGGTGGAGGGGATAGTCTCGTCTTGGCCCTCAGTGTTTAATGACCACTGCCATGGCTGCAGGAATGGGCTACAGGTAGGGTTGTGAGTGCTCTGACTGTATCTCTCAGGGGTGACAGAGGCCCTCGCTGGCCTTGTCCCTTGAAGTCACCTCTCGAGTCCATTGTTGCTGAGAGCAGAGGGCTGAGCTCTTGTGAAGTGGTGCCAGACATTTAAAACACTGGCAACTTAAAAAAGTCTGCTTTGGTTTCCTTGTAAGCTCCTAAATGCAACTGTGTCCTTGTCAAGGGGTGATGTTCTAAATAAAGATGTTTACTAAAGATTTTTTCCCCCTTAGATTAAATCTTCCTAAGTGTGAGATAAACAAAAAGTAGACCCCAGATTCTGACAGGTGTCATTAGGAAACAGGACCGGTGGCTTTCAGGAAGCTTCTGAAACTTGGGTCACCCCAGTCACTCACAGCTATCCTCGTGGCCATTTTCTCTTGTCTAAAAAGGCATCTGATTTCACAAACTTACCCCTTGTTCTGGTACGGAAGTGCTGGGAGGGAGGAGAAATTAGACTTCTTGCTTTCCTGCCTTCTCAGCGCTTGCCCTGACATTTCCTTCTGATGCCTAGAGCTCCTCCTTCCCAAGTCATAGTACCCAGACTCTCCACATGAGCCCAGGAGCACAGAAGGCACAGCTCTTCAAGAAAACAAACAGACGGCGTCCCCACCCCTGCCCCAAATAGAACAGCATGAGGCATCCTGGGAGAAAAAGAAAGGGTGCGGGATTTTAGCAGAGACAGGCCTGGGAAATAGCAGGAATGGTAGGTCTGAGGCTAGCACGGATTTGCCCCCTGCAGCTGTTTTCTGCTCTCTCTAGGTCTGCATGGTGTGGATAATGGGATTTTAATATTTCACAAGGTTCGGATACCAAGGGAGAACCTGCTGGATAAGTGAGTACTTTTTACTTTAACTCAGATTGGCTGTGCTTATGATCTCATTGCTCTCCCAAGCTGGGCCTGGCGCCTGGGTCTCATGGGCTGCACGTCCAGGCTGTCTGCCAGCCACTCCTACAAGTTTATTGATCTTCCATTGGAAAATGTAGATAAGAAAACAGAAAAAAATTGAAGTTACCCAAAATGCTATTCCCCAGACACAGTGATTGTTATGCACACCTTAATGTATAACTCTCTAGAATTCTTTCCACGCTGGTGTATCAACAGAGAGAGGGATGTTTGATTTTTACTGAATGAGATCCACTTACAAATTCTATTTTTTTTTAAAGATTTTATTTATTTATTCAACACAGAGAGAGATATCACAAGTAGGCAGAGAAGCAGGGGGAGAGGGGAAGCAGGCTCCCTGCTGAGCAGAGCCCCATGTGGGGCTCTATCCCAGGACCCTGGGATCATGACTTGAGCTGAAAGCAGAGGCTTAACCGACTGAGCCACCCAGGCGCCCCACAAATTCTATTTTTTATAACTTGTAATTTCTGCTTAACATTTTGTCAAATGTTTTATGCAACAGGAAATACATATGTACATTATCATTTTCAATATTGTTGTAATAGATCGTTAAATAAGTGATCTACAGTTTATGTAATCTGTTCTTACTGTTGGGCAATTTAGGTTGTTTCCTTAAAATTTGTTGCTGTTGTTGCTATTACACACTGGGTAATGTTATCACCTCCTTCGGGGGTGGCAGGAGGTAAGGTACCACCGTTCAGCCCAGGAGGCTGTTATAGCCAGTGCTTCTTGGAGGGATGGGTAATGTCAGAGATGCTCAGTGTCATTTCCCAGCATCCCACTGCCGTCAGGGTGGGTTAAATGATGAGGTGAAGGCTGCTTCTTCTGGTGCATTTTCAGGGGTGGAGCTCTAGGAGTTCACATTACATTTTGCAGAGGCCAAGAAACACCAACCACGGTTACTTTTCTCAACAGCATTTCTAGTATCTAGTAACAATCCTGACCTACCAGCTTATGGCAAATCTGTGGAAAAGTTAGCAATTAAGGTCTGGATAATAGCTGGAGTCTAGAATTTCCTTTATAACACCTCATTCCTTTGCTTTGCCTGCAAACTCTTGCCAGCAGGTCAATGTCATAGATGCCAAAAGTTTAAGAAAAATGTGTGAGAAACAAAGTTTCTGTTAAAATTCCTAACTGTAAAAATTCTGTTAACCACGCCCCCCCCACCCCCGCCCAAGCCCCTGGGGAATTGGTAAGAGATAAAATGGAAACAACAAAAGCATCTTTGCAGTTATCCTGGTGTGTGGGGAAGCCTTGAGGCCCCCTCAGGAGCCACCAGTGCCCATGACAGCAGGTCTGAGTGCCACCAGCCTTCCCCAGAGATGCCAGCCCATTTTCCATTCGCTCAGGCAGCAGCACTGTGCTCTGGGGGATGGGCAAGAGGGAAGGAAAGCTGTAGTTGTAGAGCTCCCCATGTGTCATCCACCCTCACGAGATCTCAGTGGCCTGGCCAGTCTGCCAGAAGCTGGATCCATTGGCTCATCTTTCATCCAATACATTAGAGATTAGAAAGTTAGATCTAGCCAGTAAGAAAAGTGACAGTGAGCTACATGGTCTGTAGAAGATATGAGAATATATAGATATTTTTTATAAGAAGGATTTGATTCTAAACCATTCTATTGCCCTTTAAACTGCCTTCAATATGCCAGAGAACGGCAGTAGAAACAGGCATTTTGGAGGAGGAGCCCCATTTTGGGGTGTTGATAAAAAATGGATCAGGAAGTAGATGTTTACATTCATTGCAATCCCTGTCAAAATCCTAGTTGCCTTTTTTTTTTTTTTTTTTCAGAAACTGAGAAACTACTCCTTAACTTTATGTGGCAATACAAGAGTCAGAATAGCCAAAACAATCTTGCTAAAGAAGTAGGAGACTCACACTTCTGATCTGAAAATTTATTACAAATCTATAGTAATGGAGACGGTGTGATATTATAGTGGATCCCCTGAAAGCAGGTGGGAAGTAAAAAAGGAAAAAAAAAAAGAAAAAAAGGAAAAAACATTTACTGTGGTATTAGCATCAGGATAAATTGATAGGCAATGAAATAGAATAGTCTAGGAATAAATTCTTACATTTATGGTAAATTAATGTTCAACAAGGACAGTAAGACTTTTTAATGGGGGGAAAGAATAGTCCTTTCAACAGACGGTGCTGGGGCAACTGGACACCCACATGCAACAGCATGAAGTTGGACTTTTCACTCATCCTGTACATAAAAATTAACTCAAAATGGATCACAGATATAGATGTAGAGGCCCAAACTTAAAGTTCTTAGAAGAAAAGATAGATGTGTGTCTTTGTGACCTCGATTTAAACACCAAAAACATAAGCAACCAAAGAAAAAAAGAAATTAAAATTAAGCAAATTTTTAAGTTTCATCAAAATTTAAAAAATTCGCACCTCAAAGGACACTATGAAGGATGTGAAAAGACATTACACAGAATGGAAGAACATAACTGGAAATCACATATATTGTGGTATGTATGATACATATATATCATCTATATCTATATCTATTTATATATATGACATCCAGAATATAAAAGGAACTATTATAGCTCAACAATTAAAAGACAAATGACCCAGTTGAAAAATGACCCTGAATAGACATTTCTTCGAAGAAGATATGCAAATGGCTAGTGAGCACATGAAAAGATGCTCAACGTCATTGTCATTAGGGAAATGCCAATCAAAACCACAATGAGATACCACTTTGCACCTGCTCAGATGGGTATAAAAAAAGAGACAAGCCGTAATGGTTGGCGAGGATGTGGACAAATTGAAACCCTCAAACCTTCTTGGTGGGGATGAAAATGGTATTGCCAATTTGGAAAAGAGTTTGGCATTTCTCCAAAAGTTTAAGTTTTTCATATGAGCCCATTCTGTTCCTAGGTATGGGTGAAAACATCGTTCACAGGAGAATCGAAAACATGCTTGCACCAAAACATGTCCACAATTGTTCAAACTGTTCAATTGTTCATAGCATAATTATTCATAATAGCCATAAAAGGGGAGACAACCCAAATATCCATGAACTGATGAACAGAGGAACAAGATATGGTGTATCCATGTGGGGGCTTATCATGGGGCTGTAAACAGGCATGAAGTATAGACACACACCACAACATGCAGGGACCATGAGAACACCGAGCTGAGTAAAAGAAGGCACACATAAAAGCCACATATTGTACAGTTCCACCGATGGGAAACATCCAGAATGGACAACTCTGTAGAGATAGATAGTAGTTTAACGGTTGCCAGGGCCTGGAGTATGATGAGTATGGGGAGTGACTGCTCACAGCATGAGGGTTTTTGGGGGGGTGATGAAATGTTTTGGAACTGGACAGTGGTAATGTTTGTACGAGTTTCTGAATGTCCTAAAAAGCACTGAATTGCACACCTTAAAAGGGGGGGATTTTTATGGCATGTGAATTATATATCAACAACAAAAGAGTGGATTGGGGTGTGGTCTTCACATTCAGGCTCCAGTGTGGGTTTAATGATGGCAGTCCCCATGCTTCTTTTTGGCACGAAACCTGCTTTTACTTTCCGTGAGTCAAGTCTTGGTCAGAATCTACTGGGGAGACTCTTCCCCTGCCTCTGACTCTGAGGTCTCATGAGCGTAGTTCCTGGACCTAGAAACCTTGTGTGTGCGTATGACATCATTTCTAGTGGTGCCGTGTACTTCTTCTTTGTTAACCCTGCTCCTCTTTTCCACCTGCCTCTCCCCTATTATAGGTTTGGTTCTGTGGCTCCAGATGGGCAGTACCATTCCCCTATTAAGAACAAGAGTGCAAGATTCAATGCAATGCTGGCAGCGCTGACCCCTTCAAGATTAGCTGTGACTTTCCAAGCTCTGGGTGCCATGAAGGTAGTTGACTCTGATTTTAATTTACATCACGGTTTATTCTCTGCATGTTCCGGGGATGGATAACAATTTTAGGAGCTGATCTTCCCAAGCCACAATTGTTATAATGTGGCTAGGGTTAATGGTTAGATACTAAGAAGGGCCAGTTGGTCGCATACAGAGAACAGTTCTGCACCCTTCTTATCATGGAATCCTATCCATCTACATCTCAGATGGGCTGCTGATTATGGTGGGTACGACATAGGCATTGTGGTAAAGGAGCCACAAACGATGACCTTGGGGGGGCCTGGGTCATTCAGAACAAATGCATCTGCTGGAAAAGCAGCTAAGAGCTGACAAGTGAGGGGAGGCTGGCGTGTCTCAGTTCAGTTCACTGGGGAGATTTGATGGTCACGTGGCTCTTTGGGGCATGGCATTCAGGATCACAGTTGGAGTCCATGAAGCCAGACCCCTAGAAGGCATCTCTATCTCCCCTCCTCTCCCACCCTCCCAGATACTAATTTGGAAAGAGCAGCCAGTAGAGGCAAGTTCTGGAGGGGCCTTCTCTTTCTCCTTTTTCTCCTCTTCCTCCTCCTCCTCTCCTCCTCCTCAAAGCTCAGCATTGTCTGTTCTCTGGGCCCTTTCCATCCTTTTGCATGAGGGAAAAACCTGCTCTAAGCTCCATAGAGCTTGGTGAAGCTGGAAGGAAAATTAGGAAACCCGTGAATATACATTGTGGCACGAATCCAACTTTTCCATCAAGAAGGAATAAATTTCATTCACCTGACTCGAGGCCTGACATCAGCACACAGTCAGCTGACTAGCAGGAGAATTCTTCTTTACTCTCTTCCATCGGTTTGGTCCTACTTCCCAGGAAGCCGGCCTGATAGGACCTGCCCTGTGTTTTGCATTTCCTGCTGGTGGGTACAACTGAGATGCTGTAAATAACCAGGCTCAGTGCTCAGCCAGTGACCTCACACCCGTAGGCACTGCTTCCTGTGCTTGTGTTCCCATGGTTCTGAAGGGGTGTTGAGTTCTGAGGTCCTGCATCAGGAGTGGCCCAGCCAGTTGGTTCCCTTGGCTGAATCGTCTGACAAATGAAGGAGGCCCCAGGGAAGCTTGAAGTCAAGGCTGTGTTCTGAAGCACAGCTTCAGAGTGCTAAGGAACGCTTCTTCTTTAAGTCTGTATAGAAACCATTTCAGCCATTTCGGGACTCCAGAAAGAGGCAGAAGGGGAGAAGTCAGGGAGCTGAGCATTACATTGTAGAGAAGCTGGGACAAAAGTCAGAACCAGGATTATCTCTTCCCTCAGTGGCAATTGTGCACCAGAGTCCCTCTGCTGGCAGTGGCCTTGGGTCCCTCTGAGGAGAGTGCTCAAGGGACACGAAAGCACCTGCTGGCCCCTGGCCTGTACAGGCGGTGCAGAAAGCCTGTGCTTTATGTTTCTGAAGGGGCGGCGGTGTGTGAAGGACGTCCACGCTGCCAGCAGCCCCATTAGCTCATCCGGGCTGGTGGCCGAGGCCCAAGGGGCAGGCACAGGGTAGCAGAGCCAGGGAAGTGGCAGGGTCTTCTGGAAGAGACTTGATTTTCAGTATCATCAGATCTGGAGCAGGGAGGGTGGGAGAGACGAGACCATGGCTGATTTTTAAAGATTTTATTTATTTATTTGACAGACAGAGATCACAGGTAGGCAGAGAGGCAGGCAGAGAGAGAGGGGGAAGCAGGCTCCCCGCTGAGCAGAGAGCCCAATGCGGGCTTGATCCCAGGACCCTGAGATCACAACCTGAGCCAAAGGCAGAGGCTTTAACCCACTGAGCCACCCAGGCTCCCCCATGGCTGATTTTTAAAAGGTCCTCATTCTCTGATCTACCAGACATTGGCAACATGGAGGCCCTATCTTGATCATAGAATAGGGAACCAAGGGCCCAAATCTCAGCCAGTACATGACTGGCAGTGGGGCCATGGACAAATCAGGAGGCCTCTTTAAACCTCAGCTTCTTCATCTGTAAAATGGACCTTGTGATAACGGTGAGGCAGGCGCGAGTAGAGGTGTGTGCGGCGCTGGCACAGAGCGAATGAATGTTCGGTAGCTCAGAGCGGTGACTGATGTGATGCTTGTTGCCACTGCTGCTGTCACTGGGAAGATAGGAGTTAGCTGTGAGACAGGAATGAGTGAGCTTTTATTAGAACACATGCCATCTGGGCCTCCAGGTAACAAGGCGGTCTGAAAGGTTCTGCAGAAGCACGCAGTTTTCCTTGGATTTCTGTGTCTCTGAAGCCAAAGAGTGGCTATGAGTCAGCATCTGCCCTGGCCGGGAGGCACATTTGCCCAGTGACAGGGAGATCCCCTTGTGGAGCCTGCGAGCCCCCGGCGTGATGTGGTGCGGGTACCGCCGATGCGCTCGGCCCTGATGGACAGCGACCCTGGCCGCTGTGATCTCATCACGAGCGTCTTGGGCAAGGATGATCTCACCAGTCCTCCTGGCAGGTCCTCCTCTCCTATGGCTCAAACACATGACAGATGTTTTCTCGGCTGAAACCTAAGACGGTCCTGCTTCTTCTGTTCTCGCTGATGAGTGGAAAAATGGATCCTTTTCTCCTATGCGCATTCCTCATGTATTAGAAAACTGTCGCTGTGGCTCCCCATGGTGACATGTGCTCAAGGCTGAGCATGCCCAGGCCTTTTAAACTTTGCCCAGATGTCTTATTTTTCATGGTTATCTCTCATTTCCATAGTTTCTTAGTACTTTCAGTTTTTCTCTTAAAGGCTTGCCTTAATAGCCTTCCTCCAGTTTGTGTCCAAAGTGCCGTGCCAGATTAAATGATTAGCAGGAACAAAAGGGAAAGGAAACCAAGATATTTGGCGTGGGTGGGAGGTGGGGCTTCGGTAGAGCCGGGCAGCTGAAGTGGAGGGCTGGGAAGCATTTTCAGAAGGAGGAAGGAAGCTGGGGAAAGTCACCGTGAGTTCGGAGACAGAAATAGAGGGAGTGTGAAATGTGAAAGAGTTCTAGCCCATCATTTTGGGTTGATCTTGCACGGAAGTAAATATTTCAGCATAAGACATGCTGGTTCCCCACTCTCCAAAGAGTCTCTCTAGTCTTTTATAGTAGATACTACATGGTAGCGGGGGCCCTCCCCCAGAATTCTGAGCACCTCTGGGTGGGGCCGGGGCCGGTGAAGCTGCATTTCTAGCAAGTTCCCCACTGATGTTGACATTGCTGGTTGGCAACCACATTTGGAAAACCCCTGCACAGAGCAGACGGATAGAGTCATAGATTCCTGGCCCCATCCCAGCCACCTTGCCCCATCCTGGCCTCCCAGTGCCTCCAAGATCATGGCCCAAGTTCTCTTCCCGTCTCCAGTGCCTTGCATGACCTCTCACTTGGCCTCCTGCACACGTGCGCTGTGCTGCCTAGCGTGCCCTCCCCCCACTTTTCACATGGTTAGTGTTCATGTACATGTTAGTGGTCAGACAAGTAAGTGTCTCTTCTTCAGAAAGGTCACAGCCTACGTGTGGTCCCTCTCTCATGTTTTCAAGGCCCTGTACTTCCCCCTGCAGCATTTGCTATGGTTTTGACCAGCTAACGGTGTGATAGGCCATTTCTGTGTCCTTCCAGCCTAAAGGCTCCACAGCCGGGGCCCTACCGGCCACCTTCACTGCTGGGTCTTCAACTTCCCACGTGGCATGGCACGAAGTAGGACCACAGCAAATAGGAGTTGGCAGAATGAATGAAGAATGAATCAGGGGTGCCTGGGTGGCTCAGTCAGTTAAGTGTTTGCCTTTGGCTCAGGTCATGATCTCAGGGTCCTGGGATTGAGCTGCTTGTTGGGCTCCGTGCTCAGTGGGGAGTCTCCTTCTCCCTCTGTCCTTCCTTGTGCTCTCTTTCTCTGTCTCAAATAAATAAATAAAATCTTTAAAGAAAAAAAAAGGGAATAAATTAGAATTCACAAATTGAGCACTTGACAGAGTTCTTAGTAGAAGTAAGTGTTCTGTACATGTTTATCTTGTGCCCCACACCCCAACCCCTCAGTTCATTCCAGGCTTGCAGGGAAGAAGGATGTTGCTAACTCCTCCTTCTAACTCTGCACATAATATGTGCTTTATACATACTAACTTATTTCTCCTCATAACAGTTCTGAGGAGGTTCCATTGGTATGTGGGGAAACTGAGGCCTGAAGAGATCAAAGAAATTTGTCCAAGGTGGACACTGAGTATATTACAGGTTGACTCTGCTGGTCCTTGTTAAGGGAGATGGCCCCATGTTTGGAAGGATGGTCATAGCATGTTGTGTGGAGAAGATTGACATGTAGATATTATGGAAAGATAAAGTTGGATTCAGTGTGAACAGGAGCAGGCCAATGCAGGACATAAATACTAAGAAGCTGGAGGTGCTCGGGTGTGTTCATGAGCTGCTGAATTAGCTGAGTTACCACTTTGGGTTGTAGAAGGCCACGAGCTGGCCTGTGAATGGTTGGGTTAGGAAGACCTTCACCACAGCCCTTAAGCCAGACTGCATCTGGTGGGAGCCATGCTTCTCCTCATCACCTAATCCTCATGCCAGTGCTGAGGCAGGCGGAGGGAAGACAGCCCACATAAAGTTGTTCGGGTGAGGTGTGTGGGATTGACGCGTATGGAGACAGCTGGAGTGCTGTGCTTACCGTAGGCCATAGCAAGACCATGAACAGCATGAACTCTGGAATGGGCTTCTTGGATTCGCAGCCTGCCTCTGTATGAGCTCGGCAAGTTATTGACCTTCTCCACACCTCTAAATACAATGAGAGCACAATTCGTAGAGATGTGGTAAGGCCCGGGTAGGTCAGAACCTGGAAGGGGCTTCTACAGTGCCCACAAACACACCGTCCGTATAGGAAGCCTGGTATTATTATTAGATACCATTATATGTAGGTGTGATGTGTGAGCTTATATAATCAAGTTCAGGGCTATCAGTCATGAAAATGACATCTGAGGCTGTGAGGATACCACACTGGGTTGATAACACATGCTCAGCCCGCTGTGTTTGAGC